TTTTCATAATGTCTAATTTTTGTAAAGCACCCTTCATTTCCTCAAATTCAACACGTTTACGTTCTAAATCAATTTGATGTTGCTGTTCCAAATCATGGTAACGTAATGCAACTTTTGCAGCTTCTGCTTCTTCTGCAGCTTTAAGTTTCCTTGTAAACGATGACGCACTAGAAATGCTAGACATTTTGAATGATAACTTCAGTTTAGCTCAAGATTACAAAGTTTGTCACTTTAAAACGAACACAGCTTTCAAGCAAACACAAATTATATTACTCCGACAGAGGAGTTTTCACTGTAATGTCTCTTTAAGTAGTTGGGCGGTCTACCTCCGGAGCATTATGACGCAGAGCAACATGGGTCTCGACGGGCTTATCAGGTTGAACACAAATAACCAATGTAACAGTTTATTATAAAAGTATAAAAAGGACGCATCGCATTTACTCAAACAATATAACATTCATATCTATCTTGACTAAACTTCAATAAATATACTGGCTTCCAATAAACCAAACTAAGCCATATATACTAGTCGGATAAGACGAATAAGCCGAATAAGCCGTGAAAACTGAAAAATACAAAATAATCATTTTGAATAAGCTTATCGAATGAATACACAAAGTTACACCGAAAACGAAACAGATATACAATTAATAAACTAATGATACCTCCATGAGCCTTTGTAATTACGCAAATTTCGCAGCCCAAACAAATCTTTTGGCGCACTCAAGAAAAATATCAAAACCGGAAACGGAATAATCGAATATGTATACTTCGATATCGCAATAAAATCACGTATTCACACTGTGAATGTTGACTTCGAATCGGTGGATACTACAGCAGCTACAGTACTGACTTTGATTTTGTGGAGGTCGCTTGTAGTGACTGTTGCCTTGTGATAAAAAAGGCTTGGATCTAGAATTAAATCTTGAAAGGCTTTTATATAGACGGCTTCCACTGGCCACTGATGAACCAACTTGATTTGTTTCTTTTATGTCTTTTACACGTTTACCAAGTTCATCACCAAACAACCATTTACTTGATCCAGTATCAGTATTATGAGAAGGATTGCACAATTTTTTATATTGTAGATTTAAGTCTACCTTTAAACTATCACGTCTAATCTGATTATGATCCTGCACTATATGGCCAAGTAATGAAAGAGCATCCATTCCAGCCTTAATCCCAGAAGACAGACTACTGTCTTTATCATCTGACTTTTTGTCCTGTTT